TCATTAATTGTGTTGAATTAGCGAGAATAAATTCTCAGCGCATCCCTAAAATTACAACATTATTCGTGCGTTAATTACTACCCATGAGAGAATAGTAACTCTCCTGATTAACTTATTCCTATTTTTCCATTAATTGCGAAACCTCGTGCTCTGGTGATACGTCACTTCGGTGGTAATTGATAGCTGGATTGTGGCTCTATTATCGGCCACATCGAAAATCCAGTTATCATCAGAAATTAGGAGTTCGATGACATCTCTCGGCGTCCAGGGATCCTCGTCGATGTCCTCAGAATGGAACGCGGTGGCGCATAATTCAAAATAAAACAAAAGACAATCAAACGTATGTTCTCCTGTCTTCTCAAAACTCTCGCCATTGAAGGTGACTTCCCGTCTGGTGGAAGTCTCTAAAATCGCGAAACGGTCGAGAACTAGTAACTGGTAAAATACCACGTTACAGTATGTATCATGCAGAAACCGACTTACATGGTGATTATGTGTGCGCTTGCCATAATGCTGCAAAATTAAGAGCATGGATTAGGCAGAATATTTATACTGGGAACGACGTGTTTAAGGATAGCGATATTAATAAGCTTTGGAATACGGATGTATACCGCATCTCTCAAGTAACAGATCATGAGTTGAATAGTGACACAGACGAGGACAATAGTTGTGATATTTATGATAGCGACAGCTGTAGCGAAGATAACAGTGGTGACGTCAAGCTAACACCCTCACCGATACCGACAAGATTTCAAAGCCGGGGCATGACGTTTGTGGAAAAGGAAACGAGAAGCATATCGAAGCAGTCATCGTATGAATACCCAACAGCTACTTGCTGTCCTACCCGCGACCCATCTCACCATCGAAGCAGTATTTCCAGCGGATAAGATTCCTTTCAAATGGACCTGACTTTGTGCAATCATCGCAAATACAGATGATTCCAATCAACCAGGAACACATTGGATCGCAATGTACTCTGGTCCCGCGGGAAAGGGCACGTACTTTGACAGCTACGGAATTCCACCGAGCGATAGCAGATTTACACGGTGCCTTAGCAGAAACTGTCGATATTATAAATACAACCATAAACAACTCCAGAGCTACCTAACTTCTTTTTGTGGTCACTATTGTGTTGTTGTCCTTCACTGGCTTAGTAAGGGCTTCCCTTTGTTAGCTTTCGTACGAAAATTCTCGAATATTTAGAAACGTAACGATACTCTCATTTTAAGAATGTTCAAGAAAATAATGAAGAATAAATCGACAACTAGATTTAAGAAAAAAATTTATAAACCCATTCGATAACGGATCAATTCTTCAAAAGTGTGAAAATAAACAACTTCATATAATGTACAATTTACTAATTTATTTCATTTGGAACCGGCTCAAGCCGTCTCTCTTTCTTAATCAATTTCTCAAAGCACCTGTTATTTTCTTCCAAAACTCTCGTTTTTGGTCAGTTGTTGAGGGCAATGACCCATGCACCATTTAATGGATCATGTCATAATGACCCAGATGTGCCAACTACAAGACCAGTCCGGCAAAGGCATGAGACCCATA